TTAAATACAATAACTGTACATGATTGTGTACACAACTGTTAAAAATGCGAAGAAAATAAATTCCATTTCTTTGAAAATGACTTAGTTGGCGCCTTTATCTTGCACGTGACAAGCGGCCGCTCCTTTGCTTACTCTTTGTATCTCAACTAATAAATCGTGTTCCAATATAAAGTTATTGCCTCAGTATGGTGTTAGCCATCCAATTAGTATCTGCTCAAAGTCGATAAACTTTTTCAGCGTGCGGCAACGTAGGTGAGCTTTCAGGAATTGAATTAGCAATTCCCACTATTAACATCTTTATTGTTGAAGAGTTTTATATTTATTACCTGTTCTCCAGTGGAACCACCACAATGGCGTCCATTTTTATCTCGTGTGCTTTATAGCAGTTGAACGTTATCATGCTATAGTCAAGCCAGTGGCTCAAGACAGGAGCTTCTCAAGAAAACATCAAATTTGCCTTTACGTTCATTTTGATTGTCAGTTTACCAATGTAAAATCATGCAATCATGCTCAATCCAACAATATATATTTTTTGTAATGATCAAAATKCTCCAGAGGGACAGTGGACCCATGACCTCCCAAGTTGAAGCAACTAACAACAAAAATCATTGACCACAGAAATATCTACTATACTTGAGATGAGAACAAAACGTAGTATCATTRACAAATAATTTCCATGAGGATTGCATTGGATACATGATATACATTGCATCACTACAATAAGACAGCCCGAAYATATTGCACTGGGTGCTGTTTACCAAGGAATCTTGTTCTGTAGCTAAACACAACATGACACACATATTATATTTACAGTACATTAAGAGTTGTATATTAATATTAAATCATCAACCACTTGAAGTAACATCAGATCACCAGATCATCAATACATATTCAAGAGACTGAACATTAACTTCATGATAATTACTGTCAGTGTTCATTTACATCTAATAAAGGTATATGCAAACAATGGCGAATTTTAAGGTAATGAAATGCAAACAAAATAGCATCATTTCCCATCAAGAATTGTTTACTAAAATCAGCCAGACAGTCAATCTCCTTTTTGCAGATGATGGAAAATCATTTTTTTAAGAACTTATATATCATAAGAATGTTATAAAGATTTCTCCAGGTGGAATCAGCAAATTGTTTAGCATGATGAGTATAATATATGTACACTGTCATCTGATATTCCACTCTGACTAATACCAATGATGCCAGTTGATATTCCACTCTGACTAATACCAATGATGCCAGTTGATATTCCACTCTGACTAATACCAATGATGCCAGTAGGTGTTTAACAATCATATCCTATAAATTTGTCTAGTGTACATCAAGAACAGTCTATCTTCTTCGACCAAACAACCAAGATAAGATAATGGGATTTATGAAAGTAAATGTGAAAAGTACCAGTTTTGACCAGAATCCCAACGTTCCATTTTGTGCAATTTCACGCTCCAAYATGGCAACACGTCTATTCAGTTTTACAACATTCTTGCGCAGATCAACAACCTCATACTCGTGTGCAAAGCTCTCTTCACTATCGCTTTGAAGAGGGTTTACTTCATTAATGATCTCCAGTCCAGTGCGTATACTGTAGATTAATAGAACACATTTTTAGGCTCTAAAACCTTTCAATGTTAAATAACGACATGAGATTATAAGTAAAATATATTAGAGTTAACACACATTTTATACCATCAAGCATGATAAACAG